CTGCTGATGTTGTGCTTCTCCATTAAAATGGAAACTAAAGTCACCAAAGAAACTTGCAAAGGGATCCATATTATTGTTCATCATTCCATCCTTTTTTAAGCACTCTTCTCCACATTTATCATACATTTCTCTTTTTTCAGTATCTGATAATACTTCATAAGCTGCTCCTAGATCTTGAAATTTTTGGGAAGCATTTGAATCATCTTTATTCTTATCAGGATGTAATTCTTTTGCTAATCGTCTATAAGCCTTTTTTATTTCATGTGTGCTTGCACCACGTGATAAACCTAATATTTTATAAAAATCTCTTCTGTAAGCCAAAAAAATAATAATATGTAAATAATATGTAAATTAACTCTATTGTTTTTATATTATTATTTATATAATTAAAAATGAATTTTATCACTAACAATGTGCGAGTAATTTTTTATACAAAATGTATTAATTTTCAAAGATCAAAATTATAGAAATGAGAGGGGTTCTGTTATAGAATTTTGTGTTTATATCTTACTTAAAAAAAAAACTATGTAACTTCAATAATCCAGGTACAAATTTAAGTAACAAGTATCGACTAAAGAGATAGGTTAATGATACTATGATTTTTAAAAAAATTAGTGTGCATAAATATGCGCTTTCGAGAGAAAATAAAAATATTCTTACTTACCCAGCTATCGATAATACAATACATATTGTTAAATTTATGAATAATATCCAATTTAACTTTAATCCTGCCATCCTAGCAGACGTTACACAAACATCTGAGCATACCACCAAAGCTCGAATCGTGGGAGTTTCTTATTGGTTCCTGCGAAAGAGTTTGATGTAATATCCATAGTGCGACAAATGTATACTTCAGGCTATCGCACAAATAATATTTTCGCTACATATCGACATCGACATAGCTCTAAAGGCCAAATAGATTTGTATATCATATGATAAAAAAAACTTTGCCCTTTTGTTCTGTATCATCAAAAATGACATCGTTTCTGAAAGCTATTAATGGCCTTCAATTATTTCAGAAATTCTTGAAACCAAGGTATGCTGCTATTTATTGTCGCTCTCTAATTAGTGATTTATGTGTTACACGTGCCGATATTATCGCTTATGCATGTACGTTTTTATCTTGTCTATAATGTGCTCGTTTTTATATATCTTTGAAAAATAATGTATGACATTAATATACATATTGTCAAATAAATGCGTAAAAATACGATTTAAACGATACATCTTTTAGAGTGATTATTTCTCTCGCTTGATTTTAAGTTATAAATATTTAATGAGATTGCTCGCACAAGTCGCACAAGTTACTTATAAATGTTTACAATTAATGTTTAAGTTACAATGATATGAAAAATAAATATATGTAATATTAAGATTCAGATCTGCAAGCAGATGTATAAGATATTTAAAAACAGAAATGTTTTATATTTATATGTTACATATGTTGAACTAAACAGAAAATGTACAATATTCTCTCTAAAATAGATTTATATAAATCTTTATTCTTTTCTGCACTTTCAGTATCAATATAATTGCTACATCAAAGCGAGACAGACATATGCGTAATAATACACCTAGATATCGTCCTCCACAGTGGCTCCCAAAAGTTACACGTGTTGTATGTTATTGATGTATAAATTACTTATTTTTATAGTTACTAATATACAGATTACTTATTTCTATTTTAATCTAATATTTAAATATAAATGATGTATCACATGAAGTAATTTTAGAGTAATATACATAAAGTAATTATATGCATTTATATGTATTTATTAAATAATAAAATTCTTCTTTGTAGAAATACGACGAACAATTAACAGAAGATAATAAGGAGTTTCTACAAGAAATAACTCAAGACAAACATGGTCCTAGTATTGGACATGAAACAAATATTTCTCCATTAAAAATAGATCCAATTGAACCAATCGCAAAATGGAGGCGAGATCTGCGACGTACTGGCTTAATTGCTAAGAAAATTGGAGTTTATCCATTATGGTTGAAAAATGGAAAAAAGGTTTACTCGACATTACTTCAGGTAAACAATGCAGCATTAATCTTCAATAAACATTGTTAATTATCATTATTATTTTTCATATCTCTGTATGTTATATCATATATTCTTTATATCTTTATTCAGGTTGTTGATAATGAAGTAATAAAATATATCCCACCACAGAAATTTTATCCAATTAAAAGCCCAAAACCTCCGTTACAAATAAAAAAGAGACTAGGATGTCTTGTAGTAGGAGCGGAAAATATAGATCCGCGATGGGTATATAATCAGAAGATTGTATAATATATTTCTCTGCATATTAACATATAAAGAAATTTAACAATAATCTTTCTGTGCAGATTACAAAAGAATATTATGGTATTTTTAATGCTACTGGAGTTATGCCAAAACGCATACTAAAAAGATTTATAATATCTCCTGAAGCGGCATTACAACCAGGAACTCCTTTGACCGTTGCACATTTTAAACCAGGAGAAGTCATCGATATCCGTGCAAAGACGTAAATAATTTTGCCTTTATTATTAAAAAGCGTAGACTTTAATAGTATCAAGTATACATTATTTGTAAAAAATTAAAATATGAATTCCATTAGGATAGACCGTGGGTTCCAAGGTGTCATGAAACGATGGGGCTTTAAAGGAATGCCTGCCAGTCATGGCGTAACTAAAACGCATAGAAGACCCGGAAATATTGGATCAGGCGGTACTAAAGCCCGAGTCATGCCTGGCACTAAACTGCCTGGACATATGGGTAATAGGTGGCGCATCCAAAAAGGTGTTCTGGTAAGATATACAATCTCTCTCTCATAATTAGTATATCCAAAAACATACGAAAGATACAAAGTCATATCCCGAAATTTAGTCTATAATTTATAAGTTCTCTATTATCCGCTTTATAAATTTTATAAGAGTAAGTATTAATTTTTTAATAATGCAATTGTATATTTCATATAGATTCTACGAATAAATACAAAATATAATGTAATTTGGGTCAAAGGACATAACATACCTGGAGAACTCAATACTTATTGTCATATCTATGATACAATACTTCCTCTGAGACGACATAAAACAGCGCCACATTTCCCACATTTCCC